ATGATTACTATCTCTTTAAAAATCTCAAAAAATTAAAATGAACAGTAGCAGATTTAAACGAAGATTTAAAAAGACTCAAAAAAGTTAAGTAAAGACTATCTCTTCTAACAGTTTAAATAAATCTAATTTCACACTTATTGAACTTAACATACTAGCTACAGATTAGATTGTAATCTGAGTTAGGTTCTAAAAACCGATAGAAAAATCTATTATCAGAGCCATAAAAGAATTAAAACACCATGATGTTAAGAGTGTATCTAAGAAGAAAAGTCAATATTTATCAACAACAAATAGATGTAATCTCAGAGATTATAAAATCAAAAGAGATGATCCCTTATAGAACTGATGAATTATTATGGGATAGATATATTCTTGAAGCAAGAAAAGCAATAGCTTTGGAAGAATTAAAAATTTTAGCAAGACAAACTAAAAATTAGTTCTGAAACAAAATTAAGTTTAGGGATTAAAGTGTTATCCACTAAAAGATGAAAATTGAATATAACGGTTAGGAGCATGAAATGTTAGGTCAAAGGGCAAAAACCCTTAGATTTAGTAAGTTAAAAGGTTAATTACCTTGACTTATAAATTGGAGAGCAAAATCCCTTAAATCCAAAAAGTTGAAGGGCAAAGCATAGGTATATGCCGGAAATGATACGAAAGGAAAAAAAAGGCTGTGTTCTTAAACAATTGCGCATATGCATTTTCTTTTAAAGAAGCCAAATTTTATTAAAATATAAAATTAGTTTATTTTCACGTAAAATTTAATATATTATTATAAAGTTATAAAAAGGCAAAAGCAACAAGACGAGATAATCAGGTTTGTGGGATGTATTGAATTATTGGCCAAGGCAATAATGCACTGTGGTCAACTGCGGGCCCAGTTGTTGCTGCTACAAGAAAATGATAAAGCTACGCAGAAGCTAAAATTTTCTGTTGCAAGGACTATTTTGCCCCTCCCATGACCAAAATCATTCTTCATCCCTTGACCCCTGCTTCCAATTTGGTGAAGTTTCGACGACACCCTCCTGCATTGACTTCAAGTCAAGTTCATAGTCAATCACTAATTACATTATGTTTCTTATCTTTAATGGTTATAATTAAATATTTGAATATTTTTAATATTAAAATATTTTAATTTTTTTATAAATTAATAATATATTAATTATTTTTTTATTTTTTTATTTTAAAAAACTTAGTTTTAATTTAAGATTATTTAAATTTAATTATTTATTTTTTAAGATATTATTTAATTTATTTATTTTATTTTATTATTATTTTAAAAAATAATTATAATATATATTATGTATCAAATAAAAAATTTTATTTAAATAATCATTAATTATAAATAAATATAAAATTTTATTAATAAATTATTTCATCTTATTTTATTAAATAAAAGATAGACCTATTAAAGTTAAACTAAAAGCATAATTGTTAAAAAAACGAAAATTAATTTTTATTTTAATTACTCAATTAAAATTAAACACATATCATTATTATTAAAAATAAAAACTTTATTTAATATGATTATAGTCTTAAATTTTTAATTTTAATTTAAAAAATTTAAATAATTAAAATTAATAATTTAAAATTAAAATTAAAAATTAAAACTACAAATTTAATTAGGTATAGAATTTTAAAAGTGAAAAAGTAATTTTTTCGGATAATTTACAACTTTTTGAAAAAAAAAATAAACTCAATTCAAAAATCAAAAAATGTATATCATTTAACATAATTTATAATCATTTAATCTAGAAGGCCATATGTGAAAAAGCAATTTCCTCTCTTCCGAATGGAAACCAGAAAGTAAAAGCAATGGGACAGGATAATAATCATGTAAGCATGGTATGGTGGTGAATTATTGCAAGCATTAATAATGCAGGGGGCCCGGTTGCCCGTTTGCTCGTTTGCCCGTTTGCCCGTTTGCCCGTTTGCCCGTTTGCCTTTTTATCTTCCCGAGCAACTTGTCCTCAGATTCAAAATGCCATAATTTGTACCAAAAAAAATGCCATAATTTGTACCAACGGTATTAGTGATGTGAGGGAAAATAATTTCAGTTTTTTTA